CTTGTTATCAATGTGGGCGAATGGGTCACATCGCCAGCGAATGTAGGATTACGTCCGGGAACGGGCGACGAATGAATCAGTATCGACAGCGCCAAACTGAAAATTACTGCTTTGTTTGTGGACAGATGGGGCATTTCGCGCGGGAATGCCAGTTTCGATTCCAGTCCTCCATTAATAGCCAACCACGTCAGGGAAACGACCAGGGGCCGACCCGTTTCTAGGCCGGGGGTCAGCCCAGGATAATGCGGCCTTGCCCATAAACTGTGTTCAGCCCACAGCAGTCTTCGTAAAGGCACGATTGGGCGAACATGAGCGAAAATGTTTAGTGGACACAGGTGCAACGGTGTCGTTAGTCAGCAGAGAATTCATTAGTGGACCCTTAAAGCCATGTTCTTTGAGGGCAAGAGGGATTGGCGGGGAGGACCTACATGTGTTGGGATCAACGGACTTGCATGTTTGCCTTGGGATGTCAAAGGTCTCCCATCAGTTTCTGGTCGTGGGTATGAGAAACACTTGCATTTTGGGTGCTGATTTCTTAAAATCGGGGGGAATGGTTGTGGACATAGCGAACTCGAAGCTTTCGTGGAAGACAGGGGAAGCAGAATTAATCGTTGAGACAACTTCCCCAACTGTGAACAAGCTAAGTGTACTGCTCGAAAGTTATTCAGACATTTTTGTAAACGGGCCGAGCGATCCCTTAGGCTTAACTACCAGGGCGGAACACGCGATTGATACAGGGGATAGTCGCCCAGTGAAGCAAAGGCCCTATCGGATTCCCGTTCATCTCACAAAGTCGTGAACAATCAGGTAAATGATATGTTAGACAGAGGTTTAATTCAACCTAGTAACAGTCCTTGGTCCTCGCCAATCGTGCTAGCTCCGAAGAAAGACGGTGATTACCGGTTTTGCGTTGACTTTCGACGTGTTAACTCCGTAACAAAGAAGGACGCTCAGCCAATGCCCCGTATCGACGACATTCTAGACCAGTTGGGGGTGCACATTACTTCAGTACCCTAGATCTCGCTTCCGGGTATTGGCAGGTACCGTTAAGAGAGGAAGATAGGGAGAAGACTGCATTTTCGGTGGGAGTAGACCACTACGAATTCACGGTGATGCCTTTCGGTTTAACCAACGGTTCCGCCACGTTTCAGCGCATGATGGGGAACGTCTTGAAGGGGATAAAGGGGTGCCTTGTTTTCATCGACGACATAATCATCTTTTCCGAGACGTGGGAGGAACACCAGCTAATTTTGAAAGAAGTATTTAGTCGTATTCGCGCTGCTGGGTTGAAAGTAAAGCGGGAAAAGTGCCAGTTCGCGCAAGAGTCAGTTAAGTTTCTTGGGCATGTCGTATCGGCGCGAGGGACCGAGCCTGACCCATCGAAGGTTGAGGCGGTGCGAGACTTTGCAACCCCATCTTCCCTTACCGAGGTTCGTGCATTCATCGGTATGGCATCTTACTATCGAAGATTTATAAAGAATTTCGCGGACATCGCCACGCCCCTGCATGACATGACTAAAGGTAGTCAGCCAGAGTTCAACTGGACGCCATTAGCGGACAAGTCGTTCAATGAGCTTAAGAACCGTCTGTGTACAGCACCAATCCTATCTTTGCCGGACTTTTCAGTTCCTTTCATTATATATACGGATGCCAGCGATTACGGACTCGGTGCCGTCTTGTCGCAACGAATAGGTGAACATGAATGTGTGATCGCGTACGCCAGTCGAACACTGACGCCAGCAGAAAGAAACTACTCGACGACAGAGAAAGAATGTTTGGCCATCGTATGGACAGTGAACTATTGGCGGCCATATTTGCTCGGTAAAGCGTTCGACATTGTAACGGACCATCAGAGTTTGACATGGTTGCAGGGGCTAAAGAAACCTAAAGGCCGTCTTGCTCGGTGGATACTCGCTTTGCAGGAGTACGAGTTCGAAATTAAACATCGGCCGGGGAAACAGCACGACAACGCAGATACACTTTCCAGGTTCCCTCGAGTGTCACCCGCTCTTGTGCCGGATTGGAGCCCCGATGAGGACCTGATGGTCGGAGTAGCAGCCACGGAAGTGAATGCATCGTGGCCGAAGGAAGAGATAATCAAGGCGCAACAGGACGATCCAAGCATTTTCTTGGTAGTGCAGAAGCTACGTTGTACTAACACAGCACCAAAGAAAGACGAGGATGGTTGGAATGATAACGGAGAGCAACGTCGCTACAAGCAGTTATGGCCGCAAATGGAGATGAGAAACGGTATCCTACATCGTCGTGTGGATAAGGGCGCACCCACAGAGCGGTTGGTGTGGGTGGTCCCACGTAGAATGCGTCCCGACCTTTTAAAGCTTTCCCATAACGACCCTTGCTCCGGGCATATGGGAGTTAATCGTTGCCTGGAGCGTCTGCAACAACAATATTACTGGCCTGGAATGGCCTCAGAAGTGCAACTGTGGGTCGCAGAATGTGAAATGTGCGACCGCCGCAAGTCTCCAGTGTCGCCCCGTAAATCACCCATGCAAAGCATAGAGGTTGGTCATCCAATGGAATTATGGGCAATGGATATTTTGGGCCCACTTCCTCTAACTGCACGGGGAAATTAATACATCTTGGTGATGTCTGACCACTTTACTAAGTGGGTAGAGGCGGTGCCGCTAGCCAACCAAAGAGCCGATACCGTAGCGAAAGCGTTTGTTGACGAAGTTGTGACTCGACACGGTGTTCCTCGTAAAATTCTAACAGATCAAGGGAGGAACTTTGAAGCAGAGCTCATGCGGCAGGTGTTCCATCTTCTTGGGGTGGAAAAATTGCGAACTTCGCCGTATCACCCACAAACTGATGGGCAGGTCGAAAGGTTAAACCGGACCTTGAAGGGAATCCTCACGGCGTACGTGAATAAAGACCACACTGATTGGGACGTTCATTTACCTCTCGCCTTGTTTGCATACCGCAACAGCGTGCATTCATCGTCAGGAGTTTCACCGTTTAGAGCGGTTTATGGTCGTGAAGCCAGCACACCCTTAGTGCTGATGGGCACCCAGACAGAGGCAAAGGAGCAGTTTATCTCGAACTACTGCGATGAGTTAGAGAAGTCCCTGAAGGACGTGCAACGCTTTGTGAAAGAAAAGATTAGCGAGGCACAGAGGAAGCAGAAAAAGGGGTACGATGATCGCAACAACATTGACAAAAGCACGCCTTTTAAGGTGGGAGATCGGGTTTGGCTCAACGACACAGCGGTTCCAAAAGGGCTTAGTCGAAAGTTCCACCTACAGTGGTCCGGGCCTTACGTGGTCCTAAACCGTCTTGGTGGCACAAATTACCACATTAAGCCCGAATCAGGAAATAGAAAATCTAAAGTGGTCCACCGCATTCGTCTGAAATCAGCTCCTTGCCGACCAAGAGTGGAGGAAGGCATGTCCACGTGCTCCCCGAAAGAAACCCAACATACCGCATTGCAGACCAACGAACCGATGATTCATCATCAAGAGAATTTAGTCGTGCAGCCTGCCCACCAAGAGAGGACTAACACGCTACGAAGGTCCACCCGTCAGCGTAGACAACCGGACAGATATCAGGACTATAACCTAGATGAGGTAGAGATCGAGGACGCTCTCAATTAGAGAGGGGGATTGTGTAATATGTATGACTATAATAATAATAGGTATCAAGTGTCACAGGGGTGATTGGCAAGGTATTAGGACATTAGTAATATGAGACAGGGACATGAGAATTGTTATTGTGTGATATTCTAGCGTGTAAAAGAATATATAGAAAAGTCTGGTTTTGTATCGTTGTTGTCTGATTCGCTTATATTACACCTCTATAAGTTCTAAACTATTCTCCCTAGAGGTCCAGTAAGAGTCATGACTCTCTTATTGATCCAGTGTTACTCCAGGTGATCTTGATACGCGGAAAAGTACTGGCACTAGTTGTCAAATAGAAATCCATTTTATGATTAAAACAACTGAATATCTCCTGTAATATACTTTATTTCGATTCCATATTTTTGTCAGAGGTATAGTTCTCATAACCAAACATAATTACAAAATTTCAACTAGTTTCATAAAGAATAATGAAAGATATAATTGACTGAATACGTCAAAATGGATTTCTATTCGGACAACCCTTTCTGAGCGCTGATTGGCTAAAATACGAACACGAGATCACCTGGCTATAGGAGGACACCTGAAATGAACTAACTTTATTTATACTGGATAACTCTATCAGTTCTAAACTGTTCTTCCTAGAGGTCCAGTAAGAGTCATTCAAAACATCTTTGCATTTCTAGGATTGTTACCCAAAGAAAAACCACCGATGAATGTCGTTGGTGATGTTGGTGGAAAAATTGCAATTATTATTGTAAGTAGGAAAAGTGATTGAAATATTAATTCTCTAAATTAAGAGAGCAATAAGCTATGAGCAGAGTTTGCTATCCAGATATAGTAAAGTTTTGTGTGCTTACTATTTTTAAGCTGATTTATCCAGCGATGCAGTTCATTTGTGAGTTTAAACTAAGGTTTTGTTATCTGGGTATTCGTCTTCAGGATGATATAATCGACAGTGTGGAGCCATTTGCAGACGCAGCAGCCTTGTTGAAGGAAAGAGGTGCATATAAAGTCTATGTCATGGTTACACATGGCATCTTATCTGGTGATTGCGTCAGATTGATTGAAGATTCTGATATTGATGAGGTAATTAATCCATCGATTATATCTACTGATGATATCCCGTGGTCCAGTGTAGGTAGTATTCTACAATAAGCTGCCGTGGTTTGTGTCTGAACTACCTGCAAAAGATACACTGTATCTCAAACGTGCTGGTCCAGTAGTGTAGGTAGTATTCTACAATAAGCTGCCATGGTTTGTCTGAACTACCTGAAAACGATATATCAAACTTCGTGGTCCAGTGTAGGTAATATTCTACAATACTGTAAGCTGTCATGGTTTGTGTCTGAACAACCTGAAAAAGATATCTCAAACGTTGTGCTCCAGTGTAGGTAGTATTCTACAATAAGCTGTCGTGATTTGTGTTTGAATGACTTGAACAGTTAAAGAATACGTCCATTTTTCAATAGACATTTTATTATTAGATCGTCGTGACAAACACAGTAGAACATGAAACGAAGAAGGTCCAATGTAGTAAAATACGAACGATCGATGTTAGTCTGTTGCTTGCAGAGGCTGTGAGACGCATTCACAATGGAGAGTCCATGTCTTACCTATTCCGAAATGTACCCTTACATGACTAGGAATAATAGCAGGCAGGTAAATACCTTGTAGATTGTTGTTGTGTTTATCTTATTTATACTGGGTAGCTTTATTAGTTCTAAACTGTTCTTCGTAGGGGTCTAGTAAGAGTCGTCTCCTATTGATCCAGTGTTACTACAGGAGGAACCCTAAACTAAACTAAACTAAACTAAACTAATTTTATTTATACTCGATAGCTCTATCAGTTCTAAGCTGTTTTTCTGATCCAGTGTTACTATACAGAAGGAAACCTAAATACTAATCTAAACTAACTTTATTTATACTGGATAGCTCTATCAGTTCTAAAACGTTCTTGCTAGAGGTCCAGTAAGGGTCATCTCTTATTGATCCAATGTTACTACAAGAGGAAACCTAAACTAAACTAATTTTATTTATACTGGATAGCTCTACCAGTTCTAAACTGTTCTTAGTTAGGATACAGTAAGAGTCATCTCGTGTTGATCCAGTGTTACTACAGGAGGAAACCTAAACTAAACTACTGTAATTTTATTTATACTGGATAACTCTATCAGTTCTAAACTGTTCTTCCTAGAGGTCCAGTTAACTTTTCACAAACAATACCAAAGCAAGATGAGCGGACATTTACTTGATGTCGGTAATATTTGAGAAAACTTAAAAACAATGATAGTTTCAATTGAATATTTTTTTACTTTTGTCACGTCAAAACATATGTATTAGGGTACTGTTTGGATTTTTGCTGATTGTCCAAAAGTTGCAATTAGACAGACCTATTCAATTGAAATAACTTTCGAAGCCACTCTTTGAATCGTTGCATAAATGCCAGCCTTCTTTTAGCTGTCGTTGTGATCGTCGACTTGCCATCGGAACCTGTCGTGGGCTCGGGACCCTCCGTACCGTTCATGACCTTTTCAATCCAAGATGTGAACATATTTACCTAGAGAGAAAAATATACGAAGATCATAAACAACAACAAATCTGTGAAACAACAATATCAACAATATCATGTTTGTGTGATGTTACTCTGAGTGTATATCCATGTGGATATACACTCAGAGTAACATCACACAAATATCTTATTCACCTGAGTACATTACACCAACACAGCAAATTTCATCAACAATATCTGTTGTAGCTGCCGACGTCGTTACCACAGAGTACTTACATACAGAATTCTTAGCAAGTGCCTAAAGAGAGGCATACACCCCCGTGGAACATTAAATTTCAGTATGTTTTCAGGGGGGTGACGACCTTTCTTTAGGGCACTTGTTAAGAACATGGCGGACTGAAAAAATCCCTTACGCTAAATTAACCTGAAGTCAGACCTCTGTGTGTACGTACTCTGTGTCGTTACCCTGCCTGCAGACAGTTTTTAGAATGCTAATAGCGTCTGTGTATCCGAACCATATTTTTGGTTCTGTAATTCATTTAAACTAAGAAAATTTGATCTGGAAAAACAATTCCGTTGTCATTAATTAAGCTACATTTTCAAAGAACTCGCTTACTGCACGAGTTACCACTGTTCTAAAAATGTTACACAAACCTTGCTGAACACGCTGTATCGCTCGCTGACACGACATGATCTTGATCCCCAACTTGTGATCCCTTGTAACACCCAGTATCCCTGAAGGTTCCTGCATACATAGGGACCACCGCTATCCCCCATACATGTACTGGCTCCTGTAGTATCATCTCCTCCACATAACATCTGTTGTGTGATCTGCTGAACACCTGCACGAGAGCAGATGAAGAGAATGGTTAATACTGCTTAACATTTAGCATAGCAATAGTGCCACCCAGTCACGAAATCCAGTGTAAAGACTGTTTCATTGTTTTGAAAATCCCACTGTTCTCCATACCATCCAGTCATGATCCAGTGATCAGAATGTTCCATTGTCTTTTTATTGTTTTGAAAATACCACTGTTCTCCATGCCATCCAGTCATGATCCAGTGATCAGAATGTTCCATTGTCTTTTCATTGTTTTGAAAATCCCACTGTTCTCCATGCCATCCAGTCATGATCCAGTGATCAAAGTGTTCCATTGTCTTTTCATTGTTTTGAAAATACCACTGTTCTCCATGCCATCCAGTTATGATCCAGTGATCAGAATGTTCCATTGTCTTTTCATTGTTTTGAAAATACCACTGTTCTCCATGCCATCCAGTCATGATCCAGTGATCGGAATGTTCTATTGTCTTTTCATTGTTTTGAAAATCCCACTGTTCTCCATGCCATCCAGTCATGATCCAGTGATCAGAATGTTCCATTGTCTTTTCATTGTTTTGAAAATATCGCTGTCCTCCATGCCATCCAGTCATGATCCAGTGATCGGAATGTTCTATTGTCTTTTCATTGTTTTGAAAATCCCACTGTTCTCCATGCCATCCAGTCATGATCCAGTGATCAGAATGTTCCATTTTCTTTTCATTGTTTTGAAAATCTCACTGTTCACCTAATGCCAAGTTGACTCATTTTGTCAAGTTCAGAACCCCCCTCCCAAGTTACGTGGGGGCCTTTCTCACGTTAGGGCAACAGTCCCTCTATTATCCATAGTACTTTTTTTCCAAGTATTCTTTGCACTTACTTGAATGCCAGTATCTATATCGGTTCGCTCGCAGTCGACATTTGTACTTGGTTACGAGAGGAATATGTGCTTGTTGTAGTTTCCTGGAGTACGTGTAACCTCGCCTGGTAGCCTTGGTTAACCCCCAACCTGGTTAAAGGTAATGATGAAACCTTTTAAACAAATGCAAATTAAAAATATCCCCTGTAACAATACATGACAGACTGTCAACTTTCATCGGTTTGATCTAGACTTTGCATGTATTTGTCACCAAACACAAGAGCAATACATACAGGGTGTCCCGGGAAAAAAGTATACCTTTTGAAATCAAGCCTTTGTTGGAATTTGAATGCCATATTACTGTGCTGAACCGACGCGTGTGTAAAATAGAATAGAAGTGATTTTTATGCATCACGAAGTTATTTGAAACTTTAATTTGGTTTCATCCAACATATGACTAATTGTGCTGACTAAGTAATGATTTTTATTGACATTTAAAGTCAGTTTATATGGCACCAAAAATAACATGACATTGTGTTTATATAAAATTCCGATGTACACTTTACAGTATCTAGTAATTATTGCATATTGTAGATAATTTCGATACTTTTTTGAACAAAATAAATTCATTCATACAGTGTGTATAAATCAATCCGCAGGGCTTTGGTCGTAAGACAGCACTTGCCTTGCGATAGTAACTTCTAGTTAGTAATTGATCATTTTGATGCAGTTACCGTATTTACTCGATTTAGCGTTGCCCCCGAATGAGCGCCGCATTTGAGATCAATTTTTTTTAAAGAGCGCCGCCCCCGAATGAGCGCCGCACTAATTATTTTCAAATGCGGCGCTTAATCGAACCCTTTCAATGCAACGAATTTACGTCGTCTGATGTCGAGGAGGCATATCCAACAATGGTTACAATGCAGCAGTTGGACTCGGATCATGAAGAGGACAGTGACATTGATATTTTGTAAACTTGTAAACAGTGTAAAAACTTTCCGCCGTCCAAATGGGGACTTATAGTGACAAAGACATTTCCAACTTGTCTTTTTAATTGTTAAAAGTTCTTGTTATAATTCACAAATAAAAGATTTTTTTAAAGAGCGCCCCCCCCCCCTGAATGAGCGCCGCATCTGAAGCTCTGAAAAATTAAAGAGCGCTCAAACGAGTAAATACGGTATGCTCCTTCATACGATCAGAAGCTATTTGAAATTTCCAGGAGTAGAGAATCTTGTACTTATCAAGAGTAGAGAGTTTACACTCATTCCCCAGAGACCAACTCAACAAAAGCCATGGCGGCCATGTTGCTGTTCCAGACAAAAGAATCTAAGGGGTGGACCATTAGAAAAGTAATTGGGGGGGGGGGAGCAAAAATAAAAATCACGCAGGGGAAACAGAAAGAAAAAAATTCGTGCACCGAAAAAGTTTGAAAAAATAAATTCGTGCAGAGACTTTTCAATAGGGAAAATTATAATTTGAAATAAAAAAAAATTCGTGCAAGGGATTATATTTAAAAAAATTAGCAACACAAGCAAAATTTTTTTAAAAATATTCGTACAAGTTGGAAAAGTCCCACCGCCCTCCCCCATCACTTTTTTAATGGTCCGCCCCTAATTAAAATTCTTTTGAATTGGAACACCAGCGGCTGTGACGTCATGTGCAAATGCTCTATAGAGTTATTTATGCAGGTCTCAATACACCCTGTATTTTACGCTTTCCTGGGTTCAACATAATGCTCAGGCATTCAAATTATTGCAATAGAAAAATTTAAAAAGGTATACCCTGTGTATGCGTAATTATTTGTTGATTATTGATCGATTATTGATCGATTATTGATCGATTACCCTCGCTTACCGGTAGCATAACAGCGTAAATTTTTATGTAAGTAATCAGCAGCAGTTGGCAAGCACACCGTTCCCACCCATTTGTTCAATGTAGCCGGTGTCTTGAGCTTGATTAAAGCCAGGTCGTTATTTCTGTTGACTGGTTGGTCGTGGTCGGGGTGAGAGAAGATTCTTTCCACTCGAATTGTTTGTTCGCGACCTTCGTATCTCAGCCGATCAAAATCTCCCAAGCGAATTGTGTACATTCTGGGTGACCTGCGGCCGATTAAAGTTAAAGAATACTAAGTTTTTTCACCAACTAAAGTTTGATAACCAATCGATCTATGATATTTGTGCATTCACCTCAGTCTGTGACCTACAATCCTGGACAAAACCATCTGCGACACTCTATTAAAACATTCCTTTGTGGCTTTTTTTACCAGTTAGACCGGAATAATTTACTCGTTTGCCCCCCTCCGCCCCCCAAAACAATGTTGGACGTTTTATCCGTATTCTACGAATCCAATCAACATTGAATGGTGGGGGAAAGGGGGAGGTTTTCTAAATTTATGATAACATTACGATATTTTGTCAAGTATAATTGGAAGTGTCGCAGATGTTTTGTCCAGGATTGTAGATCCCATCCCTGCAATATGCCGTTGTTCTGATTATAATTTCACTGTTTGATAAGAGATGTCCTGCACTAAACCTCCAGCGCGAACAGTTAAGAACTGCCGATAGTTTCGTCTGGGTTTCCTCCTGTAGTAACACTGGATCAATAAGAGATTATCCTTACTGGACCTCTAGGAAGAACAGTTTAGAACTGATAGAAATATCCAGTATATTAAATAAAGTTACTTTAGTTTATGTTTTCTCCTGTAGTAACACTGGATCAATAAGAGATGATCCTTACTGGACCTCTAAGAAGAACAGTTTAGAACTGATAGAGCTATTATCCAGTATAAATAAAGTTAGTTTAGTTTAGGTTTCCTCCTGTAGTAACACTGGATCAATAAGAGATGACTCTTATTGGACCTCTATAGGGAGAACAGTTTAGAACTGATAGAGCTATCCAGTATAAATAAAGTTAGTTTAGTTTAGGTTTCCTCCTGCAGTAACAGTGGATCAAATAAGAGATGATCCTTACTGGACCTCTAGGAAGAACAGTTCAGAACTGATAGAGTTGAGTCATCCAGTCTAGATAAAGTTAGTTTAGTTGAAAAGAATTAGTATAATAATGAATACATATTAATGCTTTTATATTCTGTTTTAATCCTAGATATGATTCCTACCTATTCCTGATGCAATGAGCCGCCGTAAGCACCCAGGATGGATGGATGAGTGCGCCAGAACACAGAAATGTTCGTCCATAGCCGTAGAGCAACAACGCCTGGTGTAGAAAAAGAAAAGATTATCATGATTCATGGTTTGGTGAGTTTTTGCCGTTGTGTGCTGACTTTGTGTGTGACATAGAAATGATAGAAGTAAACTTTCAACCGAGTTGAAACATAAATGCTTCTTAAGAGCATGGGTGTACTGTAGCTGTCTTTAAGTGCGAATCCTTTGTATAAATATACAAAGATTATCTGCGATAAAAACTATAACAGTTAAAAAAATTGTATAAAAAATACTCATAGTATATAAAAAGCAACAAATTTTAAGCATGCTTTTAAAATATAGCTATGAATTAAAATAAAAATATGAATTTGTATTTCAAGACTTCGTTCCCCATATGGCATATGGGGAACGAGGTCTTGAAATACAAATTCATAAATACAAATAAATAAATACAAGCAGAAACTATATAGAAAACTTCGTGTTCATTTAACATGAAATATATTTTAAGAAATATTGCAATTGTTATTTGAGAAAGCGCGTTTATTTTCAATGTCAACCAGACATGTTTCGCGACGGGCATGTTGGAAGAGTGACGCATCATGATGCTTTAAATAGGAATGACGGCAACTATCTCCCACAAGTGGGGTCGTACAAGGGTCCTCTGTTGCCAAGTCACTGTGACAGTGGGATGATAGTTTGATTAAACAACTAAAACGTAAGAGTCTCCACTTGATGAATAGAATAATCTGGTACTAGACAAAGTAAACGCGCCTTGTCGCTTCATGCTACTTAAATGCATCTAATGCGCTAACATACATGCACGACTGTTTTTTTTTACTCCATATATTGTCACCCATGGTTATACGTCTTTGTTCCAAAATTAGTTATACCAACTTTCCAGTGACATCCGTGTTGCAAGACTCTTTCCTTGACGAATGGAATGAAACAATAAAATCGGACGGATCACGGCATATTGCTGCAGCTTGCTGAACTAACTAGAGCCGTGCGCAAATAATCTAGGATCAAGCTCACTGAAAAGTGTAACGAGAACTTCGACGCGAGCGAAGGCCCTAGCTAACTTCTGCGAAACGTTGTCACGGAATTCTCTAGAAACTGGTCATAGTTGCATTGCAAACGACTTAAAATCAAATCACAGAGTTTTAGATAAAATATAAAAGATATCAACTTTCAGCCAATTTGTAGATCAAGGTGACGTCACACCCACAAGGAAGTAAGGAACACCCGTGAGGTAGTCACCCCCCTCCCCGCAGTGTCACCTCGCCCCGCAGAGCTACACAGATTCCGCAAGCGTTCTTAAAATCTCGCTGAGAAATCAAGGCTTATTTTTGCCTGCGCGAGAGACCATTACCACAGAATACTATAATGAAGTCCATCTTTATTGTTTTTTGCGTAAGCGCTATTCGTCATGATTCGTCACTCAGCAAGTACCATAAACAGAAGCAGTCACCCCCTGGAAATATTCAAAATGGGCACACGTCCAGGGGGGTTATAGTATTCTGTGCCATTACCTGCCATGGCCAAGCTCCAGGGAGGGCTGTGTGACCACTTACTACTCTCTTCTGAACACCGCTAGGATTTGATTGCCCACATTGGTTGAGATCTCCTATAAACAGGAAATATTCTACGAATTTACGTACGTTAAACATAGCTTCTTACTTTGCCCATGAGAACATTTTAATCGAGATTATATTCGGAATTTTTTAAATCTGGCAATCTGCCAACACGAAGTTATATAAGATGATTTGGAAAGATAGACAGGTTTATTAACATAATTTGCAGCGATAAAATTGAAATGCGTAACTCTTACAATATGCGCTATGCCTATGTGTAATTAGTATAATTTCAGTATTGAAAAATGGCCTTTCAGCATTCTGATTGGCTCCCTCATTAGCAGTAACTCTGAGGTATATACTACTCAGACGGGAGTAAATTATATTTAAGCAAATTATATTCATAAAATATACACGTGTATTAGTTGTACTGTTTAATAAACGTGCAGGAGTGTTTTATTAGGGTTTTAAGCCACGAGCGGCTTTAGACCTAATAAAACACGACCTGCGAGTTTATTAAACGGCTTCAAAGTTCAAACACGACTACAAATTCAATAGAAATACTGCCTTATTAGTATTCTTTATATAAAGAATACTAATTAGGAGTGTTTTATCAGGTTTAAAGCCGCTACACGTGACATATTATGGTTGACATGATTTGCCAATAAGCTTATGAATTATTAATGAGTGTTTGAAGTATTTATAAAAAATCTTTTTCAGCCTCGGTGATTACAAGCTTTCTCAGCCTCGGTGATTGCAAGCCTATAGTCTATTATCTATACCTATATTTCACTTCGCCTTTGGCTTAATGAATCTAAGCTTGTAATTACCTTGTCTTCAGCGACTAATTGCTCCATTATTCTTAAAACCTATTTTAGAATTATACTCCTATTTTGCTAAAAATTTGTAAGTTAAATAATTATAAGAACGTCTGCTATATTTGTACTATAACGCGGCATAATAAGACTTTGAAAATCTTTTCCTATTTGTAACAGGCACTGTAAACGTTCTCTGCATCATAAACATAATCAATTTTGTTCGTTTCTCGTTTGCTGTAAGGTGTATTAGTAAAGCCCTGGGCAAACTGGGAAACATTGTTTCCTACCAATGTTTCGCCATGTTTCCAAGAGTGGGCAAACACTAGGAAACATTAGTGAGAAACATAGGGAAACATCAAATGTTTCTGAATTTGGTAGGAAACATTTTGCTTCTTGGGAAGCAAATTTTGTTTCCGCAACAATGCTTCCACGGGTGGACAAACAGGGAAACATTTGAGGAAACATCGAGAATCACAAATGTTTCCACAGCAATGTTTCCTAGTTTGCCCAGGGCTTAAATTAAAATTACCAATTTTAATGAAAGTAACAAATTAAGTATACGAATGCTGAACTTGATTAAAAATTTAATTAAAATGTTTCGTTTTGTAATTTTCCCACATGAAAAATGCTTACTAATCAACTGTGTGGTATTTTGATGTATAATGTTTCCAGTAATTTTATCCGTTCGTCAATTTTTGAGGTCAAGATCAGTCAAGATTCAAGGTGAATTAATTAAACAATGGTTTGGCAAATTTGCGAACATGACCCAAAGTTTAACACAATGTCAATGACAACGTAAATGTTCTGGTAATATATAGACACTTGTTATTATTAGAAAAAATGGAGTTCATAGCTTTTCCCGAACTGCTTGTCAGTTCAATAACATCCGTTTAAAACATGTGGCAACGACACTAATCTAAAACATAAATTGCATTATAAATATCCCCCATGTGGTCCATGTGACGAGGGTTACTGAAGGTTTTCTAAAGATCAAAGCACAATTTGGCAGTTTATACAGTTATATAAAATGTTTGGTTATTCAAAACTGTAGCGCTTTATATGCAGATGAGGTAAAATGTACGATTTTAGATTTTTCAAAGACATCGGGTCAGTTGCTGAACGATATAGATAGCTAATCTTATTATAGTTTGGATTTTTATCAAATTTTTTAATCCCTAAGCCTGGCTCGTTATCAGTATAAATAGATATTCCTGTTGAGCCACGCTGGGAATAGTCCTATCAAGCTCGCGTACAGCTGCAGTAGACAATGTTGTAATTTTTTAAGAAATTGGAAAAGTAAATATATGTACAAATATTGTACTGAATTTTAATGAATTAACAGAAGTGTTATTATATGTACTATTTAAAACACGCGTAGGAAGCACGAGCATTTTAGATATGATAAAACACAACAAGAAGTGTTTTGAATAGCTTCAAAAACGACTACAATAGATGCCGTCTCATTAGTATTCTTTATATAAAGAATGCTAATTAGGATGGACTTTTATATAAAGAATACTAATGAAGATGAGTTTTATCAAGGTATAAAACCTCTTCACGTGATATTTTATGGTTCCCATGATTTGCCAATACCGAACTGAAGCTTATGAATTATTAATGATGTTTTGAAGTAATTATAGAAAGACAATATCTTACTGATTAAACCAATTTGTGCAGATACTATAGTCGATTAAATTCTGACGCGAAAACCACTGAAATAGAGGAGTCACTAGCGCAATATCGGAAGAACATTCACATATAATCAGAGTGGAATATACTAACCCAAACTTATAGTTTATTGAAAGCGCCTTTTAAGAAATCAAACCAGAATATTCTGATTGTTTTCATATAAGCGAATTATCTATACCCGCAGACAGTGCATCTCAACTCCTAGAATCATCTAGATTTTGTAATAACTTACCTGCGATGGTAGTTTGATTTTCATGACAAGATACTGTGCCAAGTATGAGCAAGTAAATAACGTACTGACAGCCTTTCATCCCTGCTCAGTCTCTGGCAAGCAACCGTGTCTTATTTGACTTCAACAGTTCAACAGCATAAAATCTTGAAACACTCGGGATGGTCACTGTGTGAATTCCCGTGTCCTTGGCCAGCGGGTGCTATGACCTTTTCTGTCCGTGTGCCTTCCTCTCTGAAATGAATTATACAGCGAACCTTTGCTTTCCTGTTAAATGCTTCAATGCGTCTGACTGTTAACAGGGTTAAACGTTTAGCTTTGAATTTAGGCTTTGTTCAAAACCAAAGCGCTCTTCTCTGACGCACAAATGGCAAATGCGCTCGATCAATTTATGTCCTGGTGTCAGGCTTGTTAACCTCGCCTCAGCTGTTTCCTGTTTGTTTGCTCACGATCATAAGCAGGGCTCATAATGCTAAACCACTAAAATGTCAACACAGCAATTATTTGAAGGTTTTGAAAGACAACAATATGAAACGATCAAATATCTTGGCTATGACAAACGATCTTTATTGCCTGTTGAAAGATATGCGTGTTCTGTGGTTGGATTGTGTTTGGGCAGGGTCGAGGATTAGCCGTGACTAGAATGAAATTCGACAACATGACTAAGGGACAATCCAGAATGTTTTTTTTTTAATTTATTTTAAAATCTTTATGTACGGTGGCCTGTCAATAGTAAATAAAGAGTTGCTTTTCAAAGGGCCGTGTATAACTACGTATTTTAGCAATATCAAAAAATTTGTAACTAAATGTGACAACTATATACCAAAGAACAAAAGTTGAAACAGTACACTACATCGGGTAAGGAGAATCCCTAATTAAGTCCCACAAAAAACTTACATTACATAATTACTTATAGGACAATTTTGTACTTGTTCTTGGCGCATATAGCTATACCAATCTAAGGGGCACACATTTTCTTGCGGAACATCAAGGACACAAAAGGTCACAAAGGTGACCAAAAGATCTTGAATATTAGCAAATCTCACTAAGCACTTCAGTGTTATACTGTATACAGGGTGTCTCAAAAAAGGCTAGTCTTTGAAATTCAAATTAGTCATATTGTATTGAATTTATAATTACTGCTAATCAATTAGCGAGCCGTAAAACAAAAGAATTTCTACTTATGGGACATGCACGAACAACTCAATGAAATACCCTGTACAGTACAAGCAGCATTAAAATGAAGTTATAATTGATCTCTTTTGTAAATAAGACATGTTTTTGTCACGTATCATTAGATAGCTTAAGATCTACGACGTCAGGGTTATGCAGAAGACTGGGACTAGGATGTCGTCCTAATGTAGTCCCAGTCCTCTGCTTAGCCCTGACGTCCTAGCTGACGTCGACGTCGTAGATCTTAAGCTATCTATTAACTCTACGCAGTTTAGAACAATGAGATCACTGTAATTATGACTAATTTGAATTTCAAAGACTAGCCTTTTTTTGCCTTTTGGACTCGAGTTCTCGCTCCCGACATACATATATAGAGAGAGCTCAGTGAAGTTGACGAGCTCGGCTTAATCATTGATCTATATATAACACTGAAGTGCTTAGCGCGATTTTCCTTATTAAACGCCTGGGTACAAGGCTGGGGAATCAGAGCTTTATTGGGGACGCTTTTATAGAATCTGGAAATTGGTTTTGAACAGTTTTCAAGAGCACTAAAACGTTACATTAAAATGTGAATTTATGGGTGACATTGACCATGCAACTTTGCGGTTTGAGATACGTTAATATCCAAACGCAAAAACGTTATTAAGAAATGTTTTTTTTATTTATTTAACAAACAATAGATGAAATAAACAATAGATGAAATAAATAAGTTGTAAAACTATTATATATGATTAATCTATTATCAATAAATGTTTACTCAATTTTACTTCAAAAACTAATTTCTGTTATATTTTGTTAAATGGTTGTTAAATATTAGTAAGGTTATAGTTGGTACTTCATGTAGTACAAAATTTGCACAGCAAAAACCTTAAACTTTGCTCTTTATATATATATATAGTATAATTTAATTTAAATTATTATTTTACAGAATATAGCATATCTTTTATACGACTCTGTGTAGACCGATTCGAAAAATGTCGTGTTTTTTTTCTCCCGAAATTAATTTCAATCAAGGTAGTCACTACCACCTTATACAATAGTCAATACTTCAAGATTAACAGTTTTATAAAGTATAAATATAATACCATATATTCTCCTTAAGGTTACAGAACACCTTTGAGTGTTAATTTTGCCTTAAAATTTTTTTTATTGGTTTCCATGAAAGCATTAGACTAGTTCTACCATGGATAATAAATTTTATTATCCATGGTTCTACTATCTGACCAAGTTTGAACGAAAAATTTTGAAAACTCGCAGAGTTATTTAATTTAATAAAATACATTTCGCTGCAATAAGAAAAACATTGAAAATGTAATATTCAAATTCAATTTTCTCCCGAAGAATTTTACGGTAATTACTGATTTTCAAACGAGTTGTGCTCCTGCGGGTTTTGACCAATTTTTCTCAAATTTTCACAGGACATAGCTAAAGACATCAGTTTCAAAATCATGTTCGGCTTTTTTTTAATTTTGGATATTTTAATAATAAAGAGCAATTCACTCAAACAATTCAGAAATACATTGCAGTCGTCAAAGAAATCGCCATATCAGCGGAATGACGAAATAAACAAAAAATTCCGAACATAATTTTTTAGAACAACTATTTTACTGTATAAAAATGATATTTTCATAAATATAACTTAGAACCAGCAGGAGCACAACTCAAAAGCGTAACGGTACCGCGATTTAAGATTTTCCTGAATAATCCTTATATTATTATATTGTTTGTTAATTTTACAACTTTACCATATTTTGGGTTCGTACAAAACTTGTCTTTGAATGTCCTTGAATTTGAAAACAAAAATTCAAGGTCTTGAATGTCCTTGAATTTGTAAAGAAGTACTTGAAAGTCCTTAATATCAGTGGATATTTGGCTGAAATTATTTGACATTCAAAACAGACATTTTGTTGAATTGATTTTGCATGTTCATATCTGACAAAGCTGTTTGAAACTCATTAAAGTTGAGTTTTGAAAAATTCAACGTCAGATTTTACTGATTTCTAACCCCTTTTCTTCAGTTTTTAGTCCTTGAATTTGCTGATTTACCGGGGTTTTACTCGTTTTGGTGGTTATTTTGTACATTTCAAAGGGCTATCATTTCGCTTGTATATATGTTTTCAATCTTAGACAATTCACATTTTGCGTTAAATAACAGTCTCTGCTGAAAAAATGCATCAGATATGAAATGATGCAAAATTGTGGCGACTAATTTTCGAATCGGCCAATGATCTTAAACTATACTGGATAGCGCACGTCATTGTTCGTAGCCAGTTAAACGTTAGGCAATGCCATTACTAAAGGTCCAAAATGTAGGGTGAAAACGGCTCTATTTCTTTTAGGGATTTCTTCAAACTTCAATATACTTCATTATTTTGTCATGTAACTAGTATCTCAAGACATAAATTTCTGCCGTAATATCGTACAAAAGTTCCTAATGGCTGAGCTCCAACATAGCACATGCTCAATCCAGTTTTGTCAGCAGTTCAGTGGTTATGGGAAAATTTCCATATATTACTGGTTGAGCTCCGACACAATCCAGTTTTATGAGCAGTTCAGTGGTTATGGGAAAATTTCCGTATATTACTATCCTGACGTCACAAGGATGAGGATTATGGGATTTAGGATTATGGCAAGGATTACATTTCGGATTGGGATTATGTGTGTATTGAAATAGAGGTTGTTAATATGGAAATGGGCCCGTAGTTATTGTCAACAGTCTCACAAAGCCGACATCTATCTACAACAAAAAATCTCTGAGCGTCTATCTTGTGTTAGGTGTTCTATTTAAATACTTATCTATCCATTTACGAAACTTGCTCACTTGTGCGAACACTGTGAAGCGTTGTTTGAGGGAACATATGGGTGATCCCCAGCTGATCACTCCGTGTACCTCCCAGTACCCTTGTGTATTCCTGCATACATAAGGTCCCCCGCTATCCCCTTGACAGGCGCTGACACCAGTATTGTCGTCACCACCGCAGAGCATCTGTTTCGTGATTTTACGATTTGAACCGCCTGAGAATTGAGATAAAATTTGTTGTTAGTGGTCTATTTTGATTAGAATTACCTAACATCTCTAATACGGACAGTGTCCTACGAGCCCAACAAAACTGTCACACATATTCTGTAAAAATAACGTCAGGTGATGAGAGAATGATAGTTTGTAACTGTGGGCCTATCTTTGGTTACTAAGCACTGAAACTTTTAGTGGAGTTTTAAAATGGACCTCGGTCCCTTCGCTGCCCAGCTGCCCATGTTAAGAAGGTTGGACTGTGTCCAGAGGCATAGCCAGCCCCAAAGTAATGGGGGTCAGACTGACCGGGGGCGTGGTCCCCCGGAAACGTTTTCTATTTTTGGGTCTGCGAAATCCACAGAGTTGGTATATTTTATATCTTAGATGAAAGCATCACGACGTAGCCCCCTTCCCAGTTTCTCTTCGGAAGAATTAGAAAATTGGTCCTAAAAAACCGTGGCTTCGCCCCTGCTTGTGTTGAAATATATCAGAGAACTTGCATTACAATTTTAAGAGTTGTTCCTAATTAGATCAATTTATTATTTTATTTCTGTTGTTCTTCAAAAGCGGAGTTACCTGGAGATTTCGCAAGGCGGACGGCGCATTTCTTTCTGTCAACAGGAGGAATTTCAACTTGCCGCAACATCTCAGACATATAACCTTTATAGCGACGTTTTCCCCAACCTGGTAACAGAAAAGTGCGTTATTTACCCAAAATTATAAACAACTCTCCATTTTCACTTATGTGTTGTAAATAATGCTGTTAAATGTCTTCCCTGAATAATGGATTGCCAATGCTGCCGCTGTCATTGGCAATCCATTATTCTCCCATGTTGCTTTTCATATTTTTATTTTGAACTTTATAATTTATATGGTCATACCTACCGTGGTTTCAGAGGCGCAAAGAGCCACACACGTGTTTTACAGCGCCTTGAACCAGGGTAGGTCATTCCATAGATATCTTATATACACTACACGGCTAAAAACGCACAGGTTGTTGCAAGTTGATATCGACAGGCGTGAACAATGTTGTGCGGCCAACTATGAACAAGTTGTCAACCATGTTGTTCCAAGTTGTTACAGTTGAACAATGCTGTAACAACATGTTGACAATACTGTTCATAGTCGGCCGCACAACCTTGTTCACGCCAGCTGATATCAACCTGGAACAAGTTGTTGATTTTCTCAATTTTTACGCGTGTAGATAGCGCATCTCTTTTAGTAAAATTGAAGCCAAGAATATTCCAGCGGTTACCCCCATTGAATAGATGGCGGCCATGTTGGTAGTTCCCACTCGCTAATAAACGCTTAAAAAAACAACAATAACTTTCATCATTTGAATAGTTTAAAAATGTATTTGGAATAGGTTTAACTTAATGTTTAAGTAATTAAGCTGCCTGTTTAAGAAATAGAAAACATACGAATCTTCTCATTTCATGGGAATATCCTGCGCCGGCAATCACGGCTTCAATTTTTGAATTGCATAATAATTAGATGCACTATCTAGTGTATATAAGATATCTATGGGTCATTCCCAGTCGGCCGGTTCCATTCTCTGACTCTTCCACAGTCCCTCAAATTTGCATCGAAAAGGAAGGCGCTTGCGGGTTGAAACAATGGGACGCAAAGGCTCATGGGAATGCTGTAACTAAATTCCCATAATTCAGCGCGGGGTAAGCTGGGGACGAGTCAGTTTCATTCCTTTTCCGTGTTTGCAAATTACCTTGAAATCTTAAAGTGGCTACATCGAACGTGGACCATGTCCAAGCGGTAAGAGTGCGAACAGGTCCATGTGAGGCACTCCCCCGTTTCAATATTTACATTAATTGTGAATAAACATATCACATATGCCAATTGGTTGAGCACCAACTAATTCTCAAAACCGTACACAACTGAACTGCTCGAATAAGAGTTATTGGATTTAGTATTAATGAGAACCAACACTACTCTTAATTGAGAATGTGAAAGAACATTCAAATAGCAAGCTTCTGTTTCTGAACTTGAGTCACTAACCTGTGATATAGCACCTTACGTCAGGATCATTGACAGGTAGCTCGTAATTTAAGTCTGGTAGACAAGCAGTTCCCACTCTGTCGTTGAACGTGGCAGGTTTTCCCAGTTCTAACAATGCGATATCGTTGTTGAGCGGGTACGGTGTGAAATAGAGTGGATGACGCATTGCTCTCTTGACCAAAATATCGTGCTCGTGTGTTTCATTCAAGAGTCGATCAAAATCTCCAAGACGTGCTGTGTAGTAGTTCCTCTTTCTGAAATATTTGAATATTTGACCATTGTTAGTTTTGGTTTGTTTTCTGTCAGTTATATCGTATATTACCTCTTAATCTTCCTTCTCTATCTCCTCTTTCTTCCTTCCTTTGTTTTCTTTTTATTTCCTCCCATTCTTTTCTCTCCTGTCAATCTATCATTTCATTCTTTCTTGCCTTTCTTCATTCACTCCATCTTTTCCTTTTTTCAATCCATCTTTTCAGTCGTTCCCATTCCTTCTTATCATTCCATCTTCTCTTCCTTTCGTTCGATTTCTTTTTATTTCCTTCCTTTCTTCCATTCTTTCCTATCAATCCATCTTCCCTCCCTTTCCTTTCTTTTCTTTTTTTCCTTCTATTCGATTCTATTTCTCCTTTATACTATTCTTTCCTGCCAATCCATCGTTCCACTCATTCTTTCTTTTCTTCATTCACTCCTCGTTCCTTTTTAATCCCCCCCCCACTTCCCTCTATGCTTCTCATCTGACCTCACTCTTCTATCCATAATCGTCTGGTAGACGAAATGCAGATTTTTCTGCCATAAATATGAACATTTGGTTATTCCCTCATTCATGTGGATTTTCTTGGCGGGCAGGAGGAAGTGAAAGGTGGTGTATATACGCCTCCTGTAGATCAGTGGCGTAGCCAGTCCGACAATTTGGTCATGCTATGCAAATATTTCCGAATTCATAGGGAGCTTTCCATTAATACGGCCAGACCGGTCAGAACGATCAAATTGTTGAATGGAATACAAAACGTTTGGTCTTCGGACCTATCCGACCGGAAAATTTAGATAATATTAGAATGAGGTCCATTTTTGCTAGCTATTTCAGAAACATATACCAGATCTTTCCATTGATACTGAGAAAATAATTCGGGTCTGACCGGTCAGGCCATTAAATGGAAAGCGCCCATAGACGGTGAACACAATCCATTTCTGAAGAAATGAATAATGATAATGATTTGAAATTTGCATAGCATGACCAAATTGTTGGGCTGGCTAACGCCACTGCTGTAGATCTGTCTATGTTCATTCCCTTTCTTCTTCTTCATTATATATGTTTTCCTTATTTCGTTCTAGTTGTTGCTTTCGTTGCGTCTTCTATTCCTTCATTTCATTCTTAATATATCTTCTCTTTCATTATTTTCCTTCCGCTAACACAATTTCCTTTCTCCCCTTAATTTCCTTTGTTCATCAGTTTTTTTCTGCTTATCTTGTAACTTTCTCTCGTTCATGTTTCCACCTTGTTTTGCATTGTTTGTTATCTTCCTTCTCTATTCTTCTGTTCATTTTCTACTTGCCCTGTGTATTTCTATTGGATGGCAGCTTACCTGGTTCTAATACAGTGAGCAGCAGTCAGGACCCATCTTGGATGTATCAGAGTTCCACCGCATATAAATCTCTTGTTTCTATAACCTTTTAATATTAATACCTTGGAATAATAGAAACCCAGTATAAATATGCGATTCATGCAGAGATAGATTGGTTATTATTTGGCCTGAAGAGCATTTCAGAAGAGTGTCTCCAATTTGACTCTTCCAAATTCGCTCCGGTCTCCTACTATTCTAAAACTTGACCATTAAGGGTTGACACTTACTGGATCTTTAGGGAGAATAGTTTATAACTGACGGAGCTATCCAGTATAAATAAAGTTAGTTTAGTTTTTCTCCTGTAGTAACACTGGATCAGTAAGAGTTGAAACATTTGTAGTAATAAGTTAACACTGGATGAATAAGAGATAAAAATGTAAATAAAGTTAGTTTTGTCTACCTGCCAAGGCCATTTTCCCGGTGCGCTTCGTGTTCCTTGTACCACTCTCGCGGTGACTCGAGTTGATTTCGATATTCCACATTTTGGTTGCAAGACTGGTGGTGGAGCCATTAGCACTAAATGAAGATAAAGTTTCTTTACTTTGGAAATAGTTCTGGTGGTGTTGATGATCGTAATGGGGATGGTGATGATGGTTGCGATGGTGATAGTGATCTGATGACAGTCAGACAGTGATGAGGATGGTGGTTGCGGTGTTGGTGGTGATGATGATGGTGACGATTATGGAGACAGTGGTAGTGGTATTATGAAGATGGTGGTGGTGATATCGGTGGTGATGGTGATGATGATGGTGTTGGTGCTGGTCATTACCAGATGGTTAATCGCAATCCACACCTACCTCTGTTAACGTTGGCATTTTCCTCCCCTCTCACACATTTATACACGACATGTAAATACTTTATTTCCCCAGGGCATGCATCAATAAACCTCCCCTCCTTCGTGTCGACATAACACACCCTCCTTCCTTCGCAAATCTCAATCAATTTCGCCTTAGTCGCTTGCTTCGTCGAGCAACTCGTTGTTCTCCCTAGACCACAGATGTATTGGTGCCTTCTACCATAATCTGCATGGTGTATTTTTAGGACTTTGCCGCTTGGACAAACTAACTCGGCATTTTGGTCGGGACAAAGGAGACAGGCTTGAAGTCTTGCGCGTTCTGTAGTTGCTTGTGTTGTCGGCTGTGTCGTTGGTGCACCTAAATAATATAAGTATAGGTTATTTTGAGGCAACGAGGGGTGCCTCAAAATAACGTACTTATTTTTCACACTGCGAGGTCGCGTTAATGAGTCAGAAAAGAAATCATTTTCAATGCCATATTGCTTTTGCGATGTTGTTTTTTCTCATTTTTTGTGCTGCAAAGACATTGCAGGTGAATATTAGAGGGGATTATTAATTGCAGGTGAATATTAGAGGGGATTATTAAACGGAAATTGAATAGAGTGGAATATTGAATATATTCCCCGATAAGAACAAAGGAAACCGAGCAGGGTGAAAAATAATTGATGTTATGTAATATATGCCGAGCACAATGCTACAAAATCCTGTACTTTTACAGTAAAAACTACTCGCAGATGGGACGCCAGAGAATTTACTGTAATTTCACAAAAGACTGTTTTACTGAACTGAAGTCTGTATTCATACAGTAAAAAGACTGTAATTCGAAACAGTCTATTGCACCAGAATTTGCAATCACAGCGTACTTACTGCATGTGAAAGATTACAGTCAAACACATGTCAAATAACGGTCCATTTTACCGTAATTTACAATTCACTTACTGTAAAATATTACTGTCAGGCACATGTCAAATAACAGATTTCTTTTTAAATACAGTCCATTAGACTGTAATTTACTGTAAAAAATAACAGTACACTCGGTAAAACCCCAGATATTTTTAACATTGGCGGCCGTGTTGTGTCAGATATTCTTGTTTGCGGTTAAGCGGTTTGCTATAAAAGTCAATCTCAAGGTCTCAAATACTAGTGATACTAGACCTAAGAAACTAGCTTAATAATAACAACCCTATAACAACCTCGCTATAAACTCTAGCAATAATTTTGACGCAAAGCCTGAAAACCCCCGTTTCCTCGGACCTCGGTGTTGTGGAAACGGTGGTGGCTACGATCCTGGCTGTGTATAAATGCGGGTAAATACCAGGAAGATTTGTTCCCAAAACCGTTGTTATTGATAGTGTACTATACTAGATTGCGCTAGTTTTAGCCATGCCATGCTGCAAACATGGAAACGAGTTTAATACGTGAGTACTGCTAACCATGAGCAATATGTGTTGTGCGTTTTTGGAATGAAAAGGTTTTCTAAGGAGTGTTGATCTTGACATTTTTAAGAGCCGTTTAAAACTGTGGTTGTACGGGAATTTACAAATATCTGACACTGCTAGTGTGTCTTTAAAAGGCTTGCTCTGGGATATTAACTCGCCCTGAGCTTGTTTTCCGCCACGCGAATTTGTGCGCGCGAAGCGACTTTTCCCTTTGTCGGCATCCCTTTAGACTTGCCACAAGCCAACAGGTTTGTGGCAAGTCTAGCATCACTTACACGTCAGCAAAAGCGACGGCGACAAATTAGGAGAAAGTCGTTTCACATCAAAACAAGCTTTACACCGCCTTATTAAGGCCATTTTCCATTGCCGTCGCTTTGCCCGCGCGGGCGGAGCGACCAACTTTAAGCCCGTTCTCCACTAGGCGAATTTATTTGCGCGACGCGAAGCGAAAACCGAAATCCGGCAACGTGATTGGTCGGCGAAAAAATTCGCGGCGAAAATGTAGGATCGCTTCCTACTTTTTATCTGTTCGCGCGAATAAATTCGCCTAGTGGAGAACGGGCTTTAATCACGTGAAAAATCAGTCGCGCGGGCACGCCAAGAATGTTGAATGTAGTTCCACTTTCATGGCGTGTCCGCGAGCAGTCAGGCGGACAAAAAATGCACAGGATAGACAACTACAGAGCAAATACTACAAAGTGACTACTGCAATGGAAAATGGCCTTTAAGCTCTCACATTGTATCGCCTAAACTCACCTCAAATCGCCTAAACTCGTCTTAAATAGCAACAGGTTTATAGGGGCTCATCATCCCAGAGTAGGCCTTTTATACATGCATTAAAAAATGCATAAAAATATGAGAAAATATAGAATATCTCAATCAGTATGTGAAGTGTGAGATATGAGAAGTGGCTTGGATTATGCATGTGATGCAATTTAAAGGTAACACCGTAACACGACGCGAATTTTTTTATTGTGCCATTTGAAAGAATTGTCAAGTGTGTAAAGTCACTGTAAACTTCTTTTTTATATACAGTGCAAACAAATTATTTACGAAACATAATAACAGGCTACCAAATACTTGATTTTATTTGCTTTTATGCAACATCATTTGGAAAACTGCATACGTGCGCTTCACATTATTCAAATCAGTCCAATAACAAGGATATGCCCTCATGTGATATTGATCAAGTACATGTATCGGAAACATATATCAAATACAGAAAAACAAACTTGCAAGAATTCATTATAACACCTGCACTCGGTAGTGTTTTATAAGTGTTTTAATACTAGAGAAATGTTTTGTGGCACTTCAAACAAACTGTCCTCAAAGTTGTTGAATTTGAATCTCGGGGGCACGGATCTTTACTCCGGAACCCAGCTTCAAATTCCTCGTTTTAAAATCCACATTTTTATATCGCTGCATATTATTGCGTTGACGGGAATCGTAAGAGGACAGTGTTGAAATGTTCCAAGGTCATGCATTCAAGAGAATGCGAACAAACTCAAGTGATCGTGCTTTTAAATGTTGTCGGTTCTGACGTAATTTTGGCATTTGACGGAACTTGCGCAGATTGCGTAGACATTCGCAGAAAGTCGCGCGTGAATTCGTCACAAATGATATATTTGTCGGGGCCGTGAAGTTATTCCGAATTTCTCAAAAAAGCGCAACGTACGGCAGATTAAAATTCCAAAATATCGCTAGACTATTCGACGAATTATAATTGATGACGCTGAATAGATCTTTATTAATTTAATTGCCCAAATAATTGATACCATAAACACAAAGAAAGCGCGCGTTGACCACGAACGAGTTGAACTTTGGAGAATCTATACATTTATTAAAACAGGATTTATATCATATATTTCGCTACTATTGTCATATCTGGTATAGTTTGCGCCATTGAAACTTGCACGCATTTATCAAAAGTAACAATCACAACAGAGTCAATTCCTAAATACGGATTCAACCCGGTGCAGTTCTACACAATATGCGCAGTAGCACTTGAGCGCGCCAGAAAATGTCAGAATGTAGTAATCGGGCTTCAAAAATATGCAGCATAAACTTTAGGCTTTATTTTGGCTATTTGCCATTTTGTAGACAATAAAATCTTCTATTGTGCCTTTGGGCTGATATAATTGAAGGATAATTTGCTTTATTAAATCAATGCACTGGTAAATACTAGCACATTTTTATTGGTTTGCTATACCCTTGACTTCAAATATGTACGAAAGAACACATTGCGTGTTTCAAGCAATATTAAAATACTGTATACAAATACCACGGTCTCAAGAATTAAGCGTGAATAGATTCAAATTTTGTATACCTTTACCCGCCTTTTATTTGAAACAGGCATTCGAATTATACACTGTTGCCGGGTATTGCCAGATGGATTTACTTGTCAGGGAAAAGCATTTTGTCTTTGCGTAATTTTTATGCTGACAACCTAAACCACAAGCTCCAAGAAGTTTGATTTCTGTATTGCCCTGTTGAAATTTGAAAATCCAAATGACATCTTACAGAACAATGAAACCGTAAATTTATATAAACGATGTAAATTATTCAACAGTATATATATATATAATCGTAACTTTTTATGAAACATTATTAAACAAGTTATGAATAAATTTTCTTCAAAAGAGAGCATATTTTTAATAGAAAGAAAGAAAGCATATTATATTAAGTGGTTACGTATCGTCTTCATATTTGGCATTATATATAGTGTATTAATTTAAGATTTCGTTTTCAACCACATAGTTACATTTGATATGCGCAACGCAGGCTAATTGTATAAATGATCACAGATTTCGTAATTTTTAATTGCGTCAGGTTAAAGGCTTGATCCAATCATACTGATAGTATAGTACAGACCCCTAATGCGTTGTTTTCGTTCATTCTTAACTCACAAATGTGGTAGAATATATATTACACTTAATACCAGATGATCCTACATGTAAAGTAAAATCTGTCCAAAAGGTCGCGCAAATTAAACGAAAAGGTCAACATTGGCTTAGAATCTCGCATATAAGCGTGACGCGTTTCGCACCATACAAAAATATATTTCGCTTCGCACAGCAAGTACAGTTGAACATACAAATGCCTTCTAATATACTCCTTAATTTAACACAGTAAAATTGCCTAACTGTACTAAGGTTTACTAAAATATACTAAAATAAAACCAATCACGTACCTTTTGACAAGAGAAAGCGATTTGCGCTCAATACCGCCATAATCTGGTACACCCAAAGTCTATACATTTCTCTCAGGTTGTGACGAAAACACGTAGCTAATATTGTATTTACACTGAACAACGTTATGTAGTCTTATATATAGACCCCGTTCAGTGCAGTATCTTCAGCAACACACAAAATCACCCTCCTTTTTGCAATCCGCTTTATAGTTCATGTGTTATCGTTCAGGCGAAACATCCGCCGACTCATTTACGCTTGGGCCGTGTAATTATTTTCCTCCAGAACAAAAGCTATACGTTGCTTGTTTATTTTGGCATATCCTGCTGATACAAACAGACAGTCGATATATGCTTTGAGTTTCTCTTTTCAATTCATCGAATTTTCCAAAACCACACACGAGTGGCGATCAGAACAAACTAGACATTTTGAAGTTTTCCTGTTGAGTAATGTTACAATACTGGGTAAATCTACTTTGTACGAGTATAATATATCGACAGCCTTTTATACTTCTGAGGCATTGACGGAAATATTATAGTGTTTTAGGGTGATGAAAGGTCAAACCATAGCTAATCTAAGGTCATATAGCTGCGGAAATGGTAGTTTACTAGCTTTTGTGCTTCGCCAGTTCGCCTAGAGCACGCCTAGAGTCAATTGCACATTATCAGTTCCTCATTAGCGTCTGATTATTGCGTCCTGTTTGCTCCGACGGGCATGCGGTGATTCATTTTTGGCGTCTCATTTGGCTTATCTTTCGCGATCACGCGCAGTTTGTCAACGCGCAAAGTTGATAAAAATTCATGTCTTAGAAATTTGTTAACAAATTTTTGAAATTTGATATTTTTCTTTCATTGTACAATGAAAGCAACTGCAAGTGAAGTGAACAAAAGTTGAACCTGAGAATCTATACGCCCTCTGAATCGTTGCCCTTCAATCTAACCCCTTAATGCTCTCCTCCGCAGAGGCTTTTAATTTAAAGGACTAATTTAGATGCGCGCCAGAAGGTAAAAGATGAATTTCGTCCCTTATGCAAATGAGTGAACTGCATGGCAGTAGTATGGCACACAAAAGTATATAGAGTCGCTTTTCAGAAGTAAAAAATTCTAAGTCTCTTGCATTATTATTATTAAAACTTATTTAACCACGGTGGCCTTTTTTTCAAAGGGCCGTGCTTACAAAAATATTATATGCTTAGAAACTAACACAATAATTATTTACAAAATTAGCCGATATATCTATATAATGAATACCAAAATATAACTATTTACAAAATTTGGATTTTAATAATAGAAATAATTTCTAATTAAGTGTTTATATGAAATGAAGAGAAAGACTCATAATTATAAGACTCGTATGTCGTGCAGGGGTAAGTTATTCAATATGACAGTATAATGACACGACTCGTCCGTAGGAAAAGCTATTTCGTCAAAGTTTGTATTTGGTTTAGGAAGGACTTATTTACGAGTGTTGCCTCTTAATGCATGTCATTCATATTCGATCACATTTGCCAGGAGCAGAAACATCGCCGAATAGACCTTTCCCCTTTTAAGTGAAATTTTAATCTAGACAAGTCTGAACAAAAAATTCATCACAGCTGGAAAGAGCATAGCAAAATTAGTAATATTCCGAAGTTTCGTTGCAAAATGTTGTAAAATGCGGATACTATAGCCTTGCGAAGTTTGCTGTTTTTCAGTCATTTTGCATTACAAACGGGAAATTGATAATCAGATGATCAAACTGATTATCAATTTCCCGTTTGTAATACAAAATGACTGAAAAAGGCAAACTTCGCAAGGCTATATTATCCGCATTTTACAACACTTTGCAACGAAACTTCGGAATATTACTAATTTTGTGATGCTCTTTCAAGCTGTGATGAAATTTTTGTCCAGCCTAGTCAAGATCAAAATTTCACTTAAAAGGGGAAAGGTCTATTGCTAGCGTGAACCACGTTTTAGAGTACAACGGCTATAACGAATACAGATGGTTTTAATTTCCAGTCGAATGTCGTTTCTTTAGGACTTTAGCCTTGACCACCATGTGCTAAACTATATATCCCACTGAGGTCAATATGTGATTGTGTTCAACAAGCGGTGAAAGAGGAACAAAATGTTATTTATTTTCATAATAGTAAGAGCCCTCTAGGCTGTCAGAGACTACATACCTCCGTCAGTGAATTAAGTTTATGTAACATTCATAAATTATATCATGGCTAATTACAGATTCTGTTTACTCTGCCCGACAAAACAAGACAAATCAGTTTGTCCTTGGGTAATGTTCATTGGTCTCGCAATGTTGCATGTAGTACACACGTAAAAACGCACAAGTTGTTACAAGTCTGCAAACAAGTGGTTATATATACAAATCTGTCACAAGTTGTGTTCGCACTGCTTGTTCCCAGTTGTTCAATAATCATCATAATAATTTTATGTAGTGTTATGTTGAGTCTCAACTGTTCTGCTACCATTGAGCTATCCGTGATGTAAACATCATTATCTGGCCATTGGCAAAGGGCAAACTAACCGCGCAATTCTGATCGATAAGGGGCTGATGCTTTCCGGGGAACAGTGCAAAGAGTGCCCGAATGTAAGAACGTTTATGGAGGATTGTAAATGAAATAACCTGAATTCATTTTCAGCATTTGCCCTCCAAGGTGTTCTAAAGTTGGGGGGGGGGGGATTGCTCTGTCGTGTTACTCCTGTGAGTGTTTTCGAAATCAACATTACCTGTATCAATAATAATAAGATAGGTTTATTTGCGATTATCAGATACATTCATAGCATAGATAAAGGTCCGGGCTTACAGATTGAGAATTTTGCGAACTATATTTGCCTTTGGGTGTTTTCCACACCCGAAACAATGCAAAGATTATTCATTTCTAGATATACGGAAACTTGCAATAATACCAAGGAAACGTGTCATAATATCATACTTAAATACACTTAATTGTCCACTTTGCACATTTTATAACGCGATATAAATAATATAAACTCTCTTTGTTGTATACTGACTCAAAGAAATTTTAAAATAGTGAGTCACGTCCAATATCGCGCATACATACTGCTAGAATAATCCAGTTATGTTGACACCCCTAGTGTAATTTTTTTGTTTGCTTTGGAGTTTCTATGATTCAAACTCTAGAACACCTAAAATTACGAGTAATTTTTGTGACTGTGCCCTCTCATGACAATGCAGTTCAAAGCACGCAGACTATATGCAGTCCAGCATGTTTACTCCAGCGCCATCTTGCGTTGTACGTGTTGAATGCTCAACTGAGACTATACAGAAGGTCGACTTCTTGGTTTTTCCTATGATTTTGGCGTAACCGTAATTCGTCATCAAAATGCTGACGCCATGGTCCTAGCCAGTGCGCTTATGAGAGGCATTCACCCCCCTGATAGTATTCAAAATGGCGGACTTCCAGGGAGGGGAAATGCCTCTCATAAGAGCAGTGGCTAGGACCATGGCGTCAGTATTTTGATGACGAATCATAGCGTGGCAGCGTTACGCTTTTTTGGCTGAATCGACCTTCTGTATGTCTTACTCTGTGGTTGAATGTTCAACCGTTGGCTCCTGTTGTAAGATGCTGCATCGGATTTGAGTTTGTTCAAAATTTCAACCAACACATTGTTCAACGTTGTCGGACCATTTAATCCCAATGTCGGACCATTTAATCCCAATGTCGGACCATTTAATCCCAATGTCGGACCATTTAATCCCAATGTCGGACCATTTAATCCCAATGTCGGACCATTTAATCCCAATGTCGGACCATTTAATCCCAATGTCGGACCATTTAATCCCAATGTCGGAACATTTAATCCCAATGTCGGACCATTTAATCCCAATGTCGGACCATTTGTGGTGGATCCCAACCTAAAGCCAATCACATATGCCTGCGGTATACCTACGCTATTTTTTTTTTTTTATTTATTTAATTTTGCCCAAAATAGCTATAATTACATTAGTTTTCGATTATAATTACATTACAGGGCTAGGAGACTACCAGAAACCTCTACAGGCTTTTATTTTAGTCCCCTAGGTTACAATAATACTAATAGATTATATAATAAAGTTTTTGACAGTTCGAAACTTAAAACAAAACAAATTATGAATATAGACTATAGTACTATTTACAGTGCTAAGAAGTTGATTCTTGTATATATAGTCTAAGAATATATAATATTATTTTTCAATAGGAAGTACTTTTTAAGTTCACGTTTAAAAATGTAGAGATATCTTATATCTTTATATTTATTATCTAAGCCATTCCAAATATCAACTCCACTGTTCGATAGAGTGTGTTTTGCATAATTAGTTCTATTATACGATTTATGGAGCTTGGATGTTTTTCTTGTATTGTGGTGATGAACCTCATTGTTAGTTACGAAGTAGTTCGTAAATATTTCAGGAAGATTTTTTAAATTGAAGTATCGAAACATGAATATACTGGTTAAAAAGTCGTTGATTTTATAAACGTTCAGAATTTCTAAGTTTTTAAAAATCGTTTCAGTATGCTCAGAATATGGTTTGAATGTTATTAAACGGACAATTTTCTTTTGTATTCTCATTATCACTGTTTACATCTATTTATGCGTGCATTCCTTTGTGAATTATTTGGTTAAACTGGTATATGGTGAACCAGGCTTACGATTGGAACGCCGCTTAGCCAGATGTGTATGTCGTACGAATCCTAAGAATTGCAAGAAACGTATAGGTTATGGGTGGGCAGACAGATAGGCATAAGGAATTTTGTAGATGAAAATCCCGAGTGTGAGTTTCAGTTATACATTTCTTAAACCTATAACCAGGAAAGATGCGTTTAATATATCTGATTGACCAATCAGATGGGTTTGATATATCCAATTAACCAATCAGATGCGCGCCAAGCAAGTGAGAGGTAGTGGTAGTGGAAGTAAAATTTGAACACACTCGATAAGTCTCGATTCAACTATAACTGGCTCAAGGATTCTTCATAGATGGAAATTTCCAGGTGTAAATTATATACATTTATTAACTACCTGCGGTTCTATATACATGAA